CTCTATCTGTCAGGGAAGCCGAGATATTGCAAAATAAAAAAGGTCTTCAACTTTTGAACAGCACTTTTTATATAAAAATTAACCCGGTCCTGAAAGGGTTAAGTAATGTTGCTGTGTTGCGTGGATATATGATGTCCCTTAGAAGGGACATACGGATGTAACGGCATGAATTTTGTATTTTTTTGTTGTTTTTCCGAACTTCCTGTTTTAGTCTGGTATACTAACTTAGTATGAGTTTCTTTTCAATTCTTTACTCAGTGGAAAAATTCAATAGAAAGAACGTTCAGACATATTTTTCTTTAATTTTTCCCAAAACGTCGTGCTCGAACGCATTTTTCAAATCAAGATGGCCCTAAGGGCGCTTCTAAACGAGCTTAAAGTATGTTCGGACACATCTTGCTTGTTAAAAAGCTGGAGGTAGTTTAGACGCGTCTCAATGTTATCTAGTATTTTAAACGCACTTAGATGGATTTTTTATATCGATCAGAGAAAAACGCATTCACATTTGTCGGCGACGGCACAATAGTATTGGTTACATCTTTTTTTTTCATTCACTGATCTTCAGATGGGTACCGAGTGATCACAGAATGATCCACGCTAACAAGATGTTAAGATAAAAAAATTCACTTTTCATGTCATTACACCCGAATGTCCCTTCCAAGGGACAGTGAATTCACAGCGCCTTTACGCAAAGAAGAATGCTACAAAAATTTCTTCTTTGATTTCATTATAAAGTACATCCATACAACCAAAACTATCAACTACAAAATAAGAAAATGATTTAGTGGCTACAAGTATAGAAAATATTTAAAAACAAAAATTCATTTCTGAACTTTATTCAAAAATTTTAAAATTCAGAAATATCGGATTAAGATGGAAATTTTTCTTTCTTATTTCAATCTAACGTTAAGCTACTCTATTGTCTTACATTAGTAATAATCTAGCTTTTTGGCGGATGATTCATTCTTTTTATAAATCTATTATATCAATGTCCCTTGAAAGGGACCGGCAGGTATAAAGGATTAAGCGAAAAATTTCATTCTATTTTAGAATCGATAGTTATTAAATTGAAGAATGTTTTAAAATAGAAATTCATCTGCTTAAACCGAAACATTTTCAAAAGTAAATTATTTTGTAAATTAATTGTATTTTGTTAAAATTCTTTTTTATTTTTTCATAAATTTTATACTTACCACAGTTTAATTGAATAATGTTATAGAGAAAATATTTTTGTATTAATTCATTTGCAAATGCTTTTTGTTCAACAATTTGTTTTTTCCTACTTAGATGATAAAAATCACCGATGTATTGTTCAACTTGTTCACAGGATAGTGTTAAACAAAGTAAATAAATAAGCGTGGATGCTAATGTAACATGATTATGGTGAATTGTAGAACAAAATGCCGTAAAAAATGTTCGATTAATAAGAAGTTTAAAAAATAATTCCATTGCATTTTTAACATCAAACATTGTCAATAATTTTCGATCAATATCAAATTTGCTATTATTTAACATAAAATATTTAATCAAATCTTGAGGAGAACGATATCTTACTGGTATGATATAATTGTTACCGAAATATACAGAATTTTGTCGTTTAATAGAATCTGTCCATGCTTTAGCTATCAATAATGAATGTTTTCTCTCTAAATCAAGTTTCTTTCTAGTACTTTTTAATTTACAACATGATAAAAATTGTTGATTAATTCTTAATGTTTGTTTTGGATAAACTTGAGAATAGGGTGATGATTTTCTATGAGAATTTAATTTTTGACGTCGAGGACGTCGGAGAAGACAAATAATTATAATAATAATCATTAAAAATATGAATGATGTTAATGTAATGAGTAATAAATGTAACCAATTGAGACGAAGATGATCCACATCGAAATGTAAATAGCCTAATGGTTTTTCGAACAAATCAATTTTTAATTTGATTAAATATAAATTGTTACTATTATTCATTTTACATTGATATACAATGGCACGAGTCACTTTATAAGTGATCACTATTGTTGTAGATTTTGATGTTTGATTATAAAATGTTGGTATTAATTCAGTACATCCAGTTACTAGTTTAATGTCATTCTGAGACAGTGGCAAATATGTTTCAATTTCTACACTATAATTAAAATTATCTCGTATATTTATCATTGATGAATGCATCGATGTAACAATTGGATCATGAAAATAATGAATATAAAATAGTGTGGGATATAGAGTAGTATCAAAAGATATTTGTATTGGAATTTTATCAATAATATTTATTGATGGTGTCCGAAAATTGAAACAATGAAGATCATATAATGAATAATTAATACGATTTTCTGATGAACATTTTACTTGTTCAGCGTTAACTACTATTTCATTTGAATTATTTACTAGAAAGTGAATGGAAAGTAATCTAATTGAAGATAAATAAAATCCTTGAATAACGATAAGATGACCACCAGAATTAAAACTAACAAGAGGCTGAATTTGGTTAATAATTGGCTCTGGTAATATTGTTAACGCTTCATATTTATAGACACGAGTTGAATCGAATTGAACACTAATACTATACGTTCGATTTATTTTAAAATGAGCAAAATTTGCCATAATACATGTAATCAACGATGAATTGATGTATTGAATATCACATTTTTGTTCATCTATACGAACCTAAACAATGAGAAATAAATTTATAGAAAGATTGTTGAAAATAATCTATTCACAATGCGAAATACAGATAAGATTAACGATATTTTTCTCAATTCTACTATTCCATCAGGATCCGGCTGTTTTTTTAATAAGACGAGAACGAAACTCGTTAGGGAGTTGTAATTTCAATCATTCGTGAGAAGAGACTTTAATTTATATTGAGCTATTTGGTCTTTATCGAAGGGATATGGGGTTTTTTCGAAAATTTTTCAGAAAACCTTCAAAGCTTGGTCGAAAAATGTCATCTTCTGATAAAAACTACAAGTAAAAGATACTTTCAATGATACTGGGATGCAGAGTAAATATTTTTGATCGAAACAAGATATCGACAGCTCCGGATGATGTTCAAATCAAAAGTTATGAGAGTTTCGCTAGAAACCCTAAAATATGCATCAGACGCTAGCACCACTGTATCTCGAAATTCATTTTTTCATCTTTACATGTTCGTGCGTCCCAGATTTCTTCGCTATTTCAAATGCTAAAAAGCTCTGAAAGGTTTTAAAATGAAGCGCAGTCTCAGTGCTACAACTTAACACTGCCGGATTTTTTATTTTTTCAGTTTGACTTTTGAGAAAAATAAAGTAAAGCTGAAAACTACGTTGCTTTTCCAGAACACTCCACTAATAAAAACACTTTGTTGCTTAAGTCAATATCAAAATCATGTGACGCATGTCGAACAGAGTATTCTAGTAAGATTTTGAGTAATTTAAGCTAGTTTTGAGTGGATTATGAATTTTTGAGCATTCAGCGAAAACAACCTAAAATCGGTATTATTATTCATATTAACTTTTCACTAGGTATTTCTAAATAAATAAACATTGCCACGAGATTCAATGTGTTTACTTCTTTAACTCTGTTAATATATAAATTAACAGTTCTTCAGTTATTAGCTGAAAAACAATTTAATTCACTCTTCGTTTGGAGAGATAGTACATTCTACAGTCACTTTAAGAAAGATTGATATTGAAGATAAAAGAATTATTCAAACCTGATGAAACCGTCCAGCATTCATATGAATACCAGTGATGTTAAACTGAACACGTTTTGAATTAATTGACGCAACGGAGGGAATGATATAATAAACTTGTGGATCTAATATATTAACAGTTGATTGTAATATCCATGAGTGAGATGCGACTGTAACATTAGTTTTACCAATTTTTGATAATAACGTTGTATTACAACGAATTAACGTATGATTAATTGCTATATCGATGCACGCATCATCACCAACAAATATACCAACTACTGCAATATCATTTTTGTGATTATTGATATTTTCAACGGTAATTTGTAACGTCGTACCACCACCAAGAGGAATATTTTCTGGAAAAATCGACAAAAATTTTGGTATATCTTTACACATTCTTGTTCGATTTATTTTAAAATAATTTCCAATACATTGATTTATGTACCATACACATTCATTTTGTTCACATGTTAAACAATTTTTTATCATAGAACAATCCTTAAATAAATGATTATCGATTTTAACTAATGTGATATGATGTGGCATAAGAATTAAACTCAAATTAACAGGTGGTAGAAATTGTTGATTATTTGTAGGTAATGCACAAATAATCTTTGATTTTGATAGATAAATCATAGATGTAATTTCAAAATTATAATTGCATTTTATATTAGACATCAAAATCATTAAATCATCAACATCATCATTAATAAAATAGGTGATTGTTCGTTCATCTGAATCAATTAACACATCGTTTGGTGAAATAAATTTTACATCATTGGGACAATTGGATGAGAAATTGAAAGAGCATCGTACTTTTGGCGATACACAACTTAAATAACATGAAATATGTTTTTAAATAAATTATTGATAAGTGATGATAATAATACAATTACCTGTTCAAAGTTTCACACCAACGACAGTTTTGTAATGTCATACACTGTAAACATGATCGTTTTGTGGAACATTTATCAGTTGGAAAGAGATATATCTGAAACATAAATGATAAAATTAGTCAACATTGTTTAGAAAATATACAGATATTACAAACCAAATGATTTGAATGAATTATTAAAGATTTTAGATTTGAATCATATAAAATATCACTTCCTATCGGATTATTTGATAGTTTTTCTTCGAAAATTATGTTAAATCGTTCATTTTCATTTATTTCACCCTGTAAAATAATTTCAATGTATAATCGAAAACAGTTTGATTTCATTATATTTTAATAACTTACAATTGTGAGTGAACCATCACTCCATCCAACAGCAACACCAATAATTCCATCATTCGTTAAATAACTTTTAATTCCAGTACCAGCTACTTGACCAGTATCATTTTCATATAATATTTTACCTTGAACACCAGTTTTACCACCAATAGGAAATGGTAGACGATCATCTATTGTACAATATGTTGAATTTACATTCGCAAACTAAAACATTAAGTAAAAGTGAATTATAATAAATAGAATATTTATGAGATAAACTTACATTTTCTTTTTCTCTTCTACATGGTTCATCTGGTTTAATGAAACCTAGTCCTCGATTCTGCATACCATGCTCATAGCATGCCTTAAAATTATGATTAAATGCTTTGTCTATATCATTGACTTTAAATAAACAAATTGCTACTTCTTTTTCAATTTGTGTTGAATTAAACTTTGATTTACCAAATAGACCTAATATTATTTGTTCAGATGTTTGTTCTATATTTAATGTTGTTGCAGCTAATAAAATATTATATAATGTGGTATCAGTACGACAGACTAATGGCATTTCAATATAAGTACGTAATAGATCAATAGTAGTTGAATTTGAACAAAATCGACTTATTTTACTAATAATTTGTTCACCTTTTATATCATTTTTTTGTACAGTTAAATAATAAATATAATTTTGTTTAATATTAGTAAAACCTTTTATATAATTAATAATAAATGTTTGTGCATAACGATACATAAAATGGACAATTGCTTTACGACTATTTTTAAGACCATCATTTTTTTCAACAATTTCCATAAAATTTTCTTGATTAAGATATCTTGCTGCAATAGCTGGTATTGAATCAGATGGAAGTAAAAATTGATGAGATGTAAATGTTCGAGCAACATATATTACTGAAACATTTCCAAACATTTTTCCAATAACAGCTGTTGAACTATTCCATATATCATCTGGTACTACATATATTGATTTTGAATTGAGCAATCTTAAATTATGAATGGATCGTTCCTCGCATGTACCAAATGTATTTGAATAACAAACAATTAAACTTTGATGTTCAATATTAATTAAAAATAATTTTATTGCAATAACAACATTATTATCGATATTTAAGTTACTTGCATTTACACGAACTTCTTCTCTTGAGTTAGAAAGTGTAATTGAGGCTACCGATGTTGATCCACCAATGTAAAGTTTATTCTCATGAAGTAATATATGATCAATACGTTGTTTGAATGAATAATACTCATATTCACTATTGATACAATAAACAAATATAAGACAACACGAAAAAATTTGAAATTGAATATTGTTTAATAACATTTCGATAATTGATAGTCATTCAATAGTGTTTCTAAACTGTCAAAGAAATAAGTAGTTGTAGTAGTTGTAGTACTCATCATATTATAAGATAGATTGATGAATTATTGTTAAACATCTTAAGACAGTGAGGAACCATATCCCAATCAGGATACATATCTCGATTGAGATATAGTTTCCTTACTGTAGGACCGTAGTTTAAAACCACCAAAAACTAGTTAATGTGGTGCTTGTAGTGCAAAGGTGATATAGAACATAACATATCAGCCACCAGAACTTGAGTGATGAAAACGTTTCAGTATTTTTGAAACTTTAAACTTTTGAAAGTAATTTACACATCCGAAATCTTGTTTTGTAATCGTTAGCTGAGCGGACGACTAATCACGGTGGACGCGCGTGACTTTAACTGAACATTTCACTGGGTGTCACTGTCTTAAGAGAAAATATCAAGATACTTCGAGAAAGTGTTAAAATAGCTAGTAAACAATGTAAAATATCCTGATCGGGATATAGAGTATGAACCTCGAGAATTATTTAAAAAAAAGGTTGTTGACCGAAAAAAAGACTTGGTCTCAAGGAAAAAAGAATCTGATGCAATTTTTTACGCTATTTTCAGCGGTATGGTCAAAACTTTCCTCGAACATCATCATTTTATCGCTAATGAATTTTATTTAAAAAAATCGAATTTATATCCCGATTGGAATATATGTCTTTTAGCTATATCATGTTATTTTGATTCAACACGGGATATTCAACATGAGACTCTACTGTAAGACTTGATTAAAAGCTGCTCTATGTATTATTAGAAGAATGTCCGTTATTTCTAGTTATAGTCTATTTAATATCTTCCTCGAAACTGTGTAATTGATTAGACCCTTTTTCTTTTTGAGACTAAAGATTTATTTTTAAATACAAGATTCTACTACTATGTGTTTAGAGTCAAAATTGGAGTATCTAGATCTTATGAATAGCTATTACAAAAAGTTGCTGGTATCTGTTCATGTTTATCTCAAATAATTTTCTATCTACTTGATTTTAAATAAAATTATAATTGTTAAATAAACTTACATGATTTTATTTTTTTTGCATATTTTATGATCATTGTTCATTTGTTATGCAGTTGACAAAAACTATATATATATATATATATATATAAAGATGTTTTCTAACGTTATCATTTTTTTTTATCACTCAATCAAATTCATTCTGTTTACACGAACTATAATTCTAAATAAACCACTTAATTTGTATCAACGGTTAAAAATACTTGTTCGTTCAATAGACAAAATCATTTTTAACAAATAGATAAGACACACATATACGCACACACATACATATACATTCATCACTATTATCTTTACTATTAATCATAGAGATCATCATATTATTTTTTTTTCTAGTTTTGTTCTTCCTGTTTGAAATGAACGACGCAATATATATAATCTCGACGATACAAAAATTTATCAATAACCATTTAACAAGAAAGAAAAAAAAAAAAGAAGAGGATTAAAAAAAATTTATTATCATAACAACTAGTCCGTTGTCACTTGTCTCTTTTGTTCGTCTCTATAAAGAATGTTATATACAAAGTAGTATGATAAAAAAAAAATAAAAAATAAATAAAAATTCTTGTTATATTATCATCATAGACGGAAATAATAATAATGTATCTAATATGTTTTATTTTTAGTATGGTAAAATGATTCCAATAGATTATCAGAAGTTGATTTTAAAAGTAAAAACACATAAATAAGTTATATTGAATGTTTCTTATATAAATGGCCAATAGTTTCGTTGAAAACATTTAATCTTTTCACAAAAAAGAACGCTCATCTTATTAGAGTGAACTATTGTAGTCACGAAAAAAGAAAAATCAATATACGTAAGTAACTCTGATTTGTCGTTTTTTTTTTGTTTTTTTTTCTTCTAAAAAGTACAATTTTAATTCTGATTCTTTTATGAACTTAATCTCTGCTGTATTATGAACAAAGATAGAGAGAAAAAGGCCCTACTCAAATAAAAGAATTGAAAAGTTGTTTTTCTTTTACTATTAGATCTTATCTAACAACGACAATAAATCGCCGATAGAAACTTTAATAGATAGTTTGTAGTCTCTGTATGCATAAGACATTTTTCTTCTTTCTCGATTTTTTTTTTCATAAGAAAAGAAAAAGAGAAAAAAGTACAATCGTATGTATAGATAGATAGATAGATACATAGATAGATAGATATATAAAACGAATCAAATCAAAATTAAATCAATTTACATCCGATTTGTAAAAACGACAATCATCGATATAGATATTTTTCTTTTTTTCTTTATTTGATTTCAATCAACTTTATTGTATTATGAGAGAATTTAGTGGTTGCCAAAATTTTTTTTTTTTTTTTTTTTTACTTTTTGTCTATCGTTTCGAGCTCAAGTAACACGCGTACATAGACGAAAAACGATAAAAGATCAACAGATCTATCTATCCCGTTATACATAATGAACTAGCTATCATTTGTTAATGTATGACATTCAAGAGAAAAATACTTAATGAAAACCACATAAAAAAAAATGATTAATATTTCACTAAAAATTCTCGTATTATCCCGTTTAATGGAGAAATTTAATTAACGTGACTATATCTGATTGTCGTTTACTCATTCCCATCTTTTTCACTTTGAACAATATGACTGGTATATACAGTACTAAACTCCTGAAATTTATTTAACATTGTTACACTATTTTAATAAATGTTAAAAACGAGAACATTTCATTTTTCTCATAAATGATGAAAAATGAACAATAATAATAATAATAATAATAATAATAACAATGATACACTTCATCATACATTAAAATTTATAAAATGTCAAAAAACAGAAATCCCGACAATTATTATAGAGTCTAGGATAAATTTATGAACAAATAATGTACAAACAGAACGCTATCTTTTGAACAATGTTTATACTACACATAAAAGATAATAATTGTGTAAGTATAAGAGAAAGAATGATGATATCAAGTATTTATTTTCTTTAGATTTTTGACAATTGCTTGTTCGAGAGGATTTGGTTCATTTATTATCGATAATTCATATAATGGTTCGGGTGCCAAAGCTGTTGCTAGAAAATAAAAACGATAGACGGTAGAAAAACGTATTCATTGTTGTTTCATCGTGTTCAAAGTAATAATTGCATAACAACTTATCTAAGGTCTTTTTCAAATGAGGAAAACTTAGCTTTTATTTTCTAATAAAAAGCGAGTTTTTTTTTATTTATTTCAGTTTTTCAGCTCATTATAGTACTTCAAAAGAAAAAAATTGATTATTTTTAAAACAGCAGAAAATGCAATTTTTCTTTTGAGCTCTTGAAAATCTCGAAGCTCGAGAAGAAAAAAAAATCATTGATGTCGATCACTGTTTCCGTTTCGTTGGGCCTAGTATATATAAAGACCATGATAATTTTTATACACACTTAGAATTACTCTCAACAATTCCTATCTATCCAAAAGAATGTGTATATTTCGAGGTCAATTTGTCCTTGACAATCATAGAAGGAACCGATCAAATCAGTATTTATTCAAAAATACGGACTGTTCAATCATTTAATTATCTTCTGAATCAGTCGACTGACTCCAATATTATCAATGGCAACATTTGTACTGCATGTATAGAATATAAGAAAAATAATTCATTCTTACGTAATCATAAGCATAGCATTGATGAAAAACACTCTCCTCCCTTTTCAAACTCGAAAATCAAACATTTTTCAAAACCAAGTTTGACATGCCTCCTCTATAGAACTAAAGAGAGAACGTCTCCAGGCGCCTCTTTCTAAAGTCATGTTTAAATCTTCGTAGTTTGTTAAATTGGTGGTGCTGGGTACGAATCTGAACTCAATAACGTCCATGTTATGCTGTTCGAGACAGACTGAGAACTGAGAACTAGGAGTGCAGCCACTATTTGTATACAATAGTTCTTGTGGAATATTCTTTCTAGAATGCACTAGAGAGGCACCAGTATTTTTTTCTAGTCCTTTCGAATTGAAGTGCTGACTTTTCTCTGTCAGATAAAATATGAGTGACACCTGCAATACTGTAAATGAAAAATTTATATCTTGTCTAAAATTCAAAAGTGGGATGAACAAACTTCCGATTTGTACTCAGTGCCACCAATTTAACAAACCACGAAGATTTCAATAAGACTTTAGAGAAGGGACACTTGGAGACGTTCCCTCGTACGAGCCCTATTCAAAATGGAAATTATCTTGACTTCCAAAAGTATTTCTATCCCAAATTATATATTTCTCAACTTTTTATAAACTTATTTAAATACATTTTTTGCTATATTTTTCTTCTGGTCAAAACGCGACCATAACAGTGGCAAAAAAATGGGAATGGAACAAAATAGAGCACCACATTGGTAATCTCTAGAATATCCAAATTATAGAAGATGGTAAAATACTATCAGCAGACATTTTTCATAACTCATCAAGATCTATCTATGGAGAAAAAAGCACGGCGCTAAGGTAAGTTGTTCTATAGATATCGAAGATAGATTTTCGATCTGGTGTTTTTCTAAAAAACAAATGCCCGAGACAGTGATTTGAAAAAACTCAATTTTAGTTCTTGACTAATGTCAATAAATATATCACCGGCAGAAAAATAAAGTTCATTTAGAGTCGTGGAAAAGTGCTTTTTCTTATTCAACACACTCGAGAATTCAGTAGATTTTCTATTTTTCACGAGAAGGATCGTCAAAAGTTTGAAACTAATATTATTTTTTCCATGGAAAGTTTTTTGCACCATTTTGTTAGAAAAACTTTCCTAAACTTTTGACAGTACCCCTCGCTAAAAATAGAAAATCGACTGGATTATCGAGTATGCTGAATACAAAAAAACACTTTTTCACAACACTAAATGAACTTTCTTTTCTTCTTCACGGTGATATGATTCGTTTAAGATCCCTATTTGAGACAAATGGAAAACACATTATCTGTTTTCTAAAGAATTTATTAAAGATAAGATGGATAAAAAGAACGGCAAAGATTTACCTTTCATTAAAAATTGCCTTGTCTTTTTATGTCCTTCAAGATCATAAAGTTCAGCAAGTTTTTGATATCGTATTAATTGCGTAACACCTTGTTGAACAATTTCAGTTTGATTTTGCAACAAATTTACTGGTTCAGTATCATCATATGAATCGTCTTCTGATACCAATGTATTTCTAGGACTATCTCGTCTATTCTCCGACTTATCTATTACTAATGAATTAGAATAGGGTTTATTCAGATTAGTAGTAGTAATAGGCGTTAAATGAACAGACTTTTCGTATCCGTAATCAAGAGCCTAACGGCAAAAAAAAAACCAATATATCATAATCAACTAATATCCTCCATCTTTGTATCCTTTTAAACAAATTACCTCCGTAAAATATTGTGGAAAATTTTGATAATTTTTACCCTTTCTAAAAAATTTGTCAGCATCATCATAATTTTCATTTATTAATTTTTCATTATTTTTTCGAAAAATATTTTTAATTTTTGATTTTAAACTTTTTTTTTCTTTATGATTATGAATTAATTTTAACGAGGATGTTTTTGATGTTGTAGATTGTTGTTCGGTATAAATGACGCTTAACGATGTTTGTAGTTCTTTTTCTAGATCATCTGTATCCGAAATATTTGCATTATTATTAATATTATTTGAATGGATTGTGTGTTCTTCTGTACAATATGTTTCTTTTGTTTGTTTTAAAATATTTTTAAATTCATTAACAATATTCATTTGGTGTAATCGAACAGAATTATCAATACTACAAATAGATGAAGTATCTTTAATTTGTTGAACACGATTGTAATCAGGTAATGATTTAACTAAAACAGGTTTATAATAGATCGAATGATTATTCGTAGAATTTTCATAGTTTGGAAATATTAATTTTCTACTTTTAACTCTAACTTTGATTGTTGAATGTTTATTATTAGTATTATTATTATATTCATGAATATCACGATTGTTAAAATCTTTCATTGATGAACGATTCTCTTTATGATAATGATTAACAAATGCGTTTGTTTCATTTTTTAACAATAAATCACGATTTTTACGAGCTTGTTGAATTGATTTCTCGAAAATAGTCAGTGGATTAATTAAAGAGGACGAGAATGGTGTTGTTGATTTATAAATTTGATCGGTGAGTAACGATGTTTGATGTGACGCATGTGTCATTGAGGGAGAAGATGGTGTGCAATTAAAATGATCAGTATAATCAATATTCATACTATCATGCTAGAACAAATTTTCTCTATAAAACAAAACTGTAGAAGTATGCCTATGGAAAAAAATTTTCTATGATTTATTTTTCCTTCTCAATTTATCAATCCATCTTTCGCGCTATACTTATTGTTTGCTGTAAATGTGATAATTTAAACGAATGAATATTTCGTTGTGAATGTAGTGTTTGTAATGATCTCAGTGATCATGATAAATGTTGAAAAACGGATGAGATATTTATTACTATTGGATTCAACATGGAAATCTATACATGCATTATGCATGCGTTTATTTTTTTGAATAACGTTTTAACAACAAACAGATCGACAGAGAATATCAAGTCACGCGTTTTCGTAAGCAAAGTAACGTTCAAAGTCCTTTTCTAAAAAGCAGTTTAGAAAAGATATAGGAATATCGTACATTCATAAAACCTTTAGATCATTAAATAATATATTTTTTTAGTGAGTTATAAATTTTTAATTTTATGTGGAAAACTTACTTTGCGTTAAAATCGATTTTTTCATTTTCTTTTCAAAAACAAATATGGCTATCAAATTCATCATGGTTGATGTTTCATGCGGTCTGAAGTTTACTTTAAGTCACTGAGTAACAGACCTAGGACTTCCAGAGATCCGACAACACGTTCAAAGTCAGGGTCCCGTTTGATTTCCATCTTGAAGAACACATTTTAGGCTATCTATTCTCGTAGAACAACTACTGCCACTTTACTTTCTAGAAAACCAATACTACACTACTTTCTAGAGATCTTCTCCAAACTCTACGTTCGAAAAGGACTTTGAACGTTACTTTGCTTACGGAAAGATAGGACTTGATATTCTTTGTCGATCTGTTGTTGTTAAAACATTATTCCATGTTGAATTCGATGGTAACGACAGCTTGTATACGGAGGGCATTGTAGCCTCCCATATCGAGCTTTTTTTTAAATACCGCCGGCAAACGGTGACCGTTTTTTTCTATTCATCGTTTTGTTCTGCAGGCGTAGAAGTATATAATAAACACAGAAATTTCGAAAAACTTTTGCTTTTCTATTTCAGATTATCTTTTCCTTTCTTCTTTTTAGATTCACGATTCGTCGAAGTGTGAACTTTGACTTGAGTAAATTTTCCTCCAGGGCGCCTTCTTGCGCTTTGAACAGTAGATAAGTGACCAAAATGAAAATAAAGCTTGAAACAGTTTCGAACTCACGTCCGACGAATCCCTCATGAGAAAAATAACTGCGAGGTGACCGCCCGGCGGAAGAAAATACCGCCCGATAACCGTACGGTTATTTTTGCGTTTACATAGCGATAATCGGCGGTATTTTGCCGATATTGAGCACATGGGTGCTATTCGATAAACATTACATATCATGCTCAATTTAATAGACATGTGGAAACTTACATTTCTGATATTTTGTTTTGACAACGTTTCTGTAGGCAAAGGATAGACTTCAATTGCTTCGTCACTCTTTGTTTCAGTCGTAGACAACTGATGTTTGCCCATTAACTGATAAAAAACGGGATCTGCTGGAAGAGATCGAATGAGTTGCCAAGGTTCTTCAAACGGTTCCGAGCTTATATAATTTATTGATAGACCACCATTTAGAGCATCTTGAGCTGAAAATGTAGAAATTTATTCTATTTTTCTTTAGTTTTGGTAAGTTCAAGTATTCACCTACTCTGAATGACACTATTCCGTTTCGATGTTACAGACTCATCCAGTGTTAAGGTGGGAGACAAAACATGAATTAAATTAGACTCCTTTTGCTGATCATTAATGTTCTCTTTTAGTTTACTATCAATATTTCGCTTCACTGATGGAGTAGTAGTATCAACTTGATCAACTTCTGTTTTATTGTTTTCTGAATCTCTCAACCGAATTGTCGTATTTGAACTTTTTCGATGACCAGTCTTTTCGTTTGAACTAGATGAACTAGCACAACTGGCTGACGAAGAAATTAGTTCTTGATACGATTGTTTCGCTCCTCGATGTTGTTGATGTGTTTTAGTTTTTGAATGATAGCTGTTTTTTTGTTTGTGCTGTAATTTTTCTTTTTTCAATATTTGCGAATCTGAATGATATCCACTTCGACTAGAGTGAGTGGAAACATCTAAAGCGTAAAATCGAAGGTAAATCTCACTTTTAATCTGCATATTCCCACCTGGGGGCCGTGCAGACCCCAAGAACGAATTGAACATCCCACTTATGAAAATATGAGAGTTAAATTAGTTATGGAGTAAACTATTTGCAAGTCACTCAGTCATGCTGTGGAGCTAGTGTACAGAGAACTTGGCTAAAACAACTCAGACGGCATCGACTCATCGACTGAATTTTGCACAGGAAATGACCGTTACAGACTTTACCACTTCGTTTCCATTGTGCTCTCGAGACTATTTTGTCACTTCTTGAGTGATACGACTCCCTTCCATCATCTCTATTTACATTAAAGTCTTCAATTTGTCCGCCGGCTTTTTGTTGAAGTTCATTTTTGAATGTTTGATTGTATTCTAGTACACGATTATTTCTACTCCTTCTTCGACATCGCGATGTGCCAGTGTCCGTTGGCATAGATAAATTTATAGATGTTTGGTGATTATCTTCCGGTACTTTTGGATGAAAAAATGAAAACATATTAATTAAAGTTCGAATAAATCCTTGTCGAGGTTGTTGCTGTTGATAGTCCAGTTTATATGAATATTGAGCGTTATAATTCAAATCTTTTGATGTATTATTTAATATATAACATGTCGGATTAGTCTAAAATAAAAAGAAGTGGCTTCATTTGACAAATACAATCAGTATGCATCATACTTGAGTAATTAAGTTTGTTTTCACCGGTGATAACATACTATTTGGAACTGCATGTTTTCTTCTTATTGCTGTTAAATCAACTTGTGCGATATTTGTTTCCTCCGTGTCTAGTGTGTTTGTTGCAGTTGTATTCAATAATTGTTGTCGTTGTTTTCCATGTGTTTCTAATGAAACATCGAAATCATTATAATATCTATGTCTGTCATTTTTTAACCATGATATTTCTTTTTTGCCATAATTTTTCTGCTGTGAATTCTGTTCACTATACCCCTCTGTGTCTGAGCAACAATCATTATTTGCGTTATTATTGTAGTTTTCACTACGGTGATGACAATAGGATTTTGTTTTTCGATATACTATTTTTCGGGATTGAATAGATTCTGTTCGAGAATCTGTTTTGTCATTGTGTAAAGAAGATGATTCACTTGACGAACTATCGCGATATGTTGTTACTGCATGATGAATGTGTGACGAAGACAAACTCGTAATTGTCTCACTCGAATTAACTAATGTATTATTGAATGTTGTTGATGATTTTGAACTGGATGTATCTAGATCATCAATCGGTTTTACTTTAGTTTTAGATAGCAAATGAGTATCGGAACGTTTGACAAACTGTTTCGTACGAGTATTAGCAACGAATGAATTTGATGATAAAACAGGTGGTACTTGTAGTGGCAAATCGACTTTAGGTATTGTTTGTTGACAAAATGGTAATGGTACTGCTGTTGTGATCGATTGAATAGTTTCTTTTGAAATCATTGTTTGCGGTTCAATATGTAATGTTTGAGGAGGCTGACAGTTATTGTTAGAATTATTTTTGTTGTTAGATGCAACAATCCGAGCTATTCGAGATGCTTGAATACAATCTGTTTCTGCATCATATGGGGTATTATCATGACTTGGATATAAGTTTCTTATCATAACATTCTGCTGTTTTGCAATATTCTTCTCTATTGGAAGTCGTTCTTGAGCTAGAATTTTTTTTAAATATGAAATTAACAAAAGTGTTATTCAAACCGTAGACTGTTAAGGAGACACCCCCGCCCTCCCCCCTCTTTTTTTACCTTGTTGCCAAATGCGGAGCATACGTCCGATCGAGTTCAAATTTATACCAGAGATAGAAGAGCGAAGAAGAAACTCCAGTTTTCATCCAGTCACATTATGACCGTCATAATGTGACTGGATGGAAACTGGAGTTTTCCAGAAAATCCATAGAAGATCATGTCACAAAATTCAGAGCAAAAATATATCGAGTTTCTTTTTCGCTCTTCTATCTCTGATATAAATTTGAACTCGATCGGACGTGTGCTCCGCATTTAGCAACAAAATGAAAAAAGAGGGAGAGTACTCTTAAACTGGTAACTTACCAGAGCTTTTAGTATTGTTGATCTTGGACAATTCATTTTTTTCTACAAGTTTTTCTGTTGATGATGCTAATATGAAATGAGAATGATCTGACAAGCTTCTTTTCCATATGAGAAATTCATCGACACGTGAGCTATTGCCATTACAAACAATGGCTGATGTTTCCGATTCAATCCAGAGACGTTTTAACAAAGCTTTGATACGCTTTTTTTCGTCTGTGAGACCGATGATGGGTGTAACGCTGTCGACTGACGTACTTGTTCTACGAAATAATGAATATTTTTCAGCATTTCGATTGACAATCGGTTGAAATGTAGAATTAATTTGCCGATATGAATGACAAGAAGAAACCGATGGAAAATTGAAATTTATTGCTTGTGGATGAAAAGGGATTGGTGATTGCTCACGCGAATTTGAACGTGGTTGTTGCCTAGCACGTATTTTAACTCGGACACCCGGATAAAGTTGTTCAACCTGTCTTTTCGACCACCAAGAATCTAACGGAGTTTGATAGTGGGCACGAGAGAAATTAGTGTCCGGCTTTTGAAATCGTCCTACATTTTTAGCAGTGTTTTCTGACCACACTGTAGAAGAAGGAGAAGAATAATGTTGATGTTGGTGGATGGTAGTCGTATACTTTGGAAATATCTTTTCTCGTCTATTCGTCGCAAAGTGTTCTTGATTGTATGCCACAGAATTAATCTGCGAGTTTGAGAGTAAGTTATTACTAGAAATTAATATATGGGCTCTTTGATGAAGAGTGTCAGGTTGATTATAGGCATGTGCTATTGTGTTATGGTAATATTGTCTATATTGAGAATCATTCATGGATTTTAATTAAAACGATTTCTTCTCTTATAGTTGTTAACGAGCTAGACAACCATCAGAATGCTTCATTCTAGACATTACTGACGTTAACGAAAGAACAAACTCAATTGTATACTTTTATTCATATAAAAATTTTCGAAATGTATAGTCTGTTAGTCGACTTGGTAACTACGAAAAACCATTATTATTATTATTTAGACAGACGTTATTTAATCTGTGTCGTGCCTCCTGTTTTCATTACCATCGGTCGATTTTCTTTGAAATGCAGCATATGTTATTGACTGCCAATAGAAAACAAGATCTGGATGAGATCCGTCCCTGTTTCATAGGTTGGAGAGTTTCGAAGAGTAACAGTAACCGGCGTGTGTTGTGGTAAATCTATATTTGCCTTAGAATCTAGCAGAGTAAGTTAACACTTTAGGCAAACATCTGACGACTTGAAGAAAGTTGAATTCTGATTCATTTGTTTTCAATGCAAAGACATTTTTATTTTTAAAAGACGTAAGCAAAAGCATAGTCTATTTCTTATTATTTCATTCAAATACTGATTGTTTCTATTTTTTGTCACACACATAATGAGTCATATGTACAGGCGTAAGAGTGCGCCACTTCCTTAAACATGAGTAACTCATTACGTATAACTGGAGAAATGAGTATTTCAATAATAACTCCTGAGCACTTTCTCATGCAAAGTTCTATCCAAAGAAAGGGCACTTCTTGATTGTGACCAACAAAAAGGTCAAAAGAACCGTACAGTAGTTTGGGCACAGTCTTCGTACCATTTTGACACTCACAAACTTACTTTTTCGAATAATGTAGAGATGTTTTAAAAAATGACTATACTGAACGTAATATCCATGCTAACGTAAGAGCTAAAGCTCTTTGCTGTGAGACAGGGTAATAAAAAGATATGAATCAACTTTGACTTCTCCGTATTTATATAAACAGGAAAAATGGTTTCCTCTCAGTGGTAAGTCACTCATTCATCTATTCTCAGATCGTTTCCATATGCTTCTTAGGCATTTTTTAATTAAATATTCGCCAACAGTGTTCAAAAAAACTATGTTAAAACCCCAAAATTAACGTATATTAAAAAAGTACAAAAGTACAAAAGTACAAAAGAAGTGCAAAAAACGATTATGCTCTACCTATACTCAGGAGGAGGATCTCATCGAAATAAACACCTTGAAATGTAAGAAAAAATATAGATAAATAAAAGTGAGTACTATTTGACGTTGACTCACTATATACTGCGTGTAAAAAATATTGATGGATTGTCGAATGCTGCTACAACCACTTGAATATTATGCCCAAAAAAAAAAGTAAATATTATAATAATCGTGATTCATAAAGTGTGATTTAATCGCGTATGATAGTCAAAATATCGCTATTGTAATGTATCAAAGAATGAAAACATCGTTTGGTGAATTAGTGAATCATTCACGTGTGTCATATATGATGCGGTAAGTACCGGAAGTGAGTAAAAGAAACAACATTACACACAATGGTTTTTAACTGGAGAACCTGGATTAAATAGTGCATTTCATTTTCAATTAAGATCATATTATTTTAAGTCGACTGATTGATGTTCCAATACTAGTAGCACTATTACTCATAGTTTGCCATCTGTACATGATGGACCAGTTTGAATTCTTCTCTGTTAGAATTCTTCCAGACTTGAACCAGACTATTGACTGCTTTGTATCTGTGTATTTTCAAGAGAGTGTAGTTCTGCTAATGATAATGACACCTTATCAGTTGAAACAAATCTATACCTGTCACATTTGCTGCTCGATGCAAATAGTAATTAGTAAAACGATTCATTGTTAAGAATAAACATGGCGTTGTAGGAAATTGACGTTTATCTTGGAAGTTGGTATACATATTTCTTGAAAAACTAAACTGGTACTTGCAACTTCTAATCAACTTTACAGTAGACATCTCAACACATAGTATTAGATGATACTTTAAGAGATTTTTCTCAGTTAATGATCAAAACCCTAACGATTTCGATATTTACCTTTTTCCAGAACTATATTTACTTTTAATTACTTACCTTACTTGAAGAAGTATTTGTAAAGTAAAATTGTAAATACTCAATTTTTTCAAGTACTTGGATCAAGTACGATTATTAGGGAATTTCATCACTTGCTCCATAAAAAATCTTTATATATTTTGAATATTCATTCTTTAAAACAAACTCATACAAAACTGAAACAATCTATGTGCATAAGTACAAATAAATTTATTCTACTATCTTTTTGAACTAAGTTCGTGTCCGATAGTCACTGGTCGACCAGGTGGCTTTGATTGACTAATTGATGACTCTTTCGAAAGACCATCTAGATAATTTACAATGTTAGATATGTATGGTAACGATAAGATTAAACCAAAACCAGGTATACTTTTTAAAACATTGATAATAAGTGAAATGAAACCTAAAATAAAAGAAATTAAAAATCACAAAAATATGTTAACAAATCATTTGAAAACGAACCTCCAAATAATTTATAAAAACCAATTATTTCTAGAATAAGTCCAACAATTGGCCAACGTAATAACAATAATATAATGCCCGCAAAAAAACATAACGAAGCTTTATAGCGATCCGGTTGAGTAAAAAATGTCTTTGCTCGATCTACACTCAATAATAATACAAGACCAACAATAAGAAGAATATTGCCTAATGCTAATAGAGCTCGATCGAAAAATAATGTAAAACCGAGTAATATAAAAAAAAATGCAAAACCTATAAGGCCCGCACCCGCTCGTTGGGTATCAGATAAATTCCAAAAAGCCATTATTTTTCTAATCTGAAAACGAATAAAAAATACGTGTACTAGAAAAGATGAAAAAAATCTTACAAAAAACGAATTGATATCGGACTTTAATTAACCGCACCCATATTTTAGATCTATTTACAAGATGAATGTTTGTCATGTATTTGTTCCAGACAAACATCACCAGTTTGTATTAGACATGTTCGATCAACTCACATTGATTCATCTTCTGTACAAATAAAACTTTATCTTTCAATTGTATTGTCTGTCTATTATTTAAACATATACGATCATGGTGAATATCAAATTTACTAAACCATAGGGTCTAATCTTATAATTGTAGGCACATATATGTGAATTTTAAAAAATGCGTTCAATCACCCAAACATCAAGGTACGATACGGATTTAATACATTTTCATCCGAGTTTATCTGCATGAAATTACTACAGATATAGTACAATACGTCTACGTAATTGTTTCAAAGATAAACTTGATCATAACTAATAACCGTTCATCAAAAGTAAAACTTGCACGCACAACTCCGATTATTGATCAGTGATCTATTACTCGAACTTATACTGTATTTATGTTAATGTCTTTCTTATTGTACTCGCAGCTACTAACTTTTTCGTTGTAAAATTCATTTTCAGGTACCGTTTTTGTAAGAATCTTTCTGTAGACGGGCTCAGGCTTCTCCGAGATGTATGAGCGATAAGAAACACACGGAAAGCTCTGAGGAAAATATTGCTACACGAAGCGATTTTGGAAAATGACTAAGGAGAAAAAAACTTTCAACGAGTATAGGAAGGAGGCCGATTTCGAAAGTAAAGCAAAACGAACAGATCCTAAAAAGTGGGTTCGCTATTGGTCTCTTGATTCCAGGGTTCTTGATTATTTCGAAATAGAAAGGATAATTCTAATATTGTAACAGATAGTCTGGAAATTTCCTCGAGAGAGAAAATATCCTATTCGACACAATGAAGGGTGGAACGAAAAATGTTTCTTCCTTTTTCTTCAATAGGTAGGCGACATAACTGAGCTGGCCCTATCATATAGTAGAAATGGATGACGAAATGTAAAAAATTACACTATCACAAAAAAATAGTAGATTGTATTTTTTTCTCTTTTCTTATACTTTCTTTCGTCGTTGCGATTATATAGGCACAAAAGCAAAATCTTGTTTCCTTTCATAATCATTTTTTTACTATCATCATCATCAGAAACATTAGACTTACCAAGACCGTGTTCGAATTTAAATCAACAATATAAAAATTCTATTTGGGTGAGATTAATATGTATTGTAAACCGCAAACTTAGGCACACTAGAAGGTTCAACTTTTAATATTAAGTGAATTTGAGATATTAGATGAGTCATTGTTGAACGCATTTTCTACCGACGTGGCAGAATGAATTAAAAACGTGAATCATTACTAAATGCGTAAACTCAGGTTAGATGAGCAAAGTGGAATTGAACAGCATCAGAAGTTTCTGAATTCTCTCGCTATAGAACGTAAACTGCATAATATATTCGTGTAATTTTGAATTGAAATCAGTACGTCAGGAGGGGCTGTGATCTGAAGAAGTATTTGAAGAAAAAATTAAGGAGTTGAAGAATTTATTTTTGTCTGCCTGAAAAATTATTTTTTAAATTTTGTTTTATTACTTAAAGAGGAAATTCTAAAATGCGACATACTAACAGTTGGTGTTTTATTGTACTATAGCACATACTCAACCACAAACATTTACGAAAACTGGAGAAAAGAAAAAAAAATCTGTTAAGAAACAAAAAGACAAATGCAATCATTACAAGGTTTACAAAAGAGAGAAAAACAAATCAAGAGTATCACGCATATATCAGTTTCTATCTGCTTCTGAAAAACACAAATTTAATTTTTTTAAATTTCATAAAATGACCTTGTAAACTAACTGCGAAAAAAGACCTAAATGTAATATGAGAAGGTGTCACAGACGGTAATTATATACATTCATACTACAGTATACCTACATTTCGTCGTTTTATTTCATTTTTTAAGGTCGCGGTATAACATATTACAAGACCATACGTCTATTTCATGTAACATGTTAGGTATATCATCATACAGTTTTCGTCTACATAAGCAAAAACTGTAAAACTCCAATGTGATTTGACTTACACTTATCATCAGAGAAACGAGAATTGAATCTAGTAATGTAGAAATGCATACTCAGAACAAATAAAACGAATGTTATAAAAAAAAATAATGACCCCAAATCATGATTTAAAGAGAGAGAAATACTAAAAGATAACAGTGTGTATCAAATAGATGATGACATGTTCTTTTACTTTTTTCGTTAACTTCTTGACAAATTGTTTTTTTTCGTTGTGGTTTTGTATTATTGAATAATGTTTGGTAATGATATGTCTTCCTCTCCTACGTACGTTGAACCATGAAAGATCGACTTTTTTTACCATAACTCGATGAGATTTGTTCTGCATTATAAAGAAACACTTAGTTCAAGTTCTCAAATATATTATAAGACTCTTTGCCCTTACCACTAATTGAAAATGTATCCATCAAAATTTCGTATTTTAGAACGTTATCTTATATCAGTAGAAAAGATCAAAGTCAATGTAATATTTGCTTTCTTAGGTACTGTTTTCAACGACTGGTAGGACAAGTGAGAGTAAAGTAGGTTTCTCATTGTGTAAAATGAATTTACCCACCTATTGTCCACTCTGAGGGACAAAAAAAACATTTTGCTTTCGAGAATTTCCATTCTGTTTTTTTCTTCTTAAAAAGAAAATAGCAAAAAATGACTCATTAGTCTATGAAATACATGTGCGAGAGAACTAAAAAATTTGTTTTTATCATGTCACTTTGAATGTTTGCAGCTAGGTCGCTAGTGTTTAAAAAAGGCATGAACCAATTCTTTTTTGAAGATTATTGAAAAAAATGACTAGTTCTAAGACTATTTGTTTTATACGTTTTTTGCATACATCAGATTGTTCGGCAGGTTTTTCTCTACAAAATGAGATATAATGAAGTTTGAATTTGCATTTGAGAAGGACAAAACAAGAAAAATACTAACCAATTCCCCACTAATTTCAATTGCAATTCCACTTTTTAAAAAATAGTGTATAATGTTTAATCTAATGCTGCCGCAAAATTTCTAAATAGCCTGTTTTGTAGAGAAAAGTCGACGGTACAATCCTATATTGTGGATAAAAATTGGTAACAAATAATTTGAGAAATAAAAATTATTTTCGAAGATGCACCACAAAACCCGTTCTAGAATTGGTGCATACCTAGTTCAAAAACTAACATGAAGAGTAAGGAAAAAAAGATTATAGAAATACATCTATTTCTGGTTGGATCTGTATATTTTACGGTAAAGCTACTTTTGTTACGTACACTCTTTTAGCGAGCCTTTTCATTTATATGGTTGGTAGCAAAGGCTGGACGCAGCAAATTATCATTTTCGCGGTCTATTATCATTTTGCACATTTCTAGAATTGATGCCAATCTTTTCGAAATTGTCTACTATTTTTGACAGGTAGAGGGAAAAAACCATAAACGAGCCACATGGTATAGATCGCTCAGTGATTTGTTTATTTTTGTGCCAATAGTCATTTAAAACTGAGACTCTTTGAACCGTTGCCAATATACCGGTCATTTTAGTTATTAATTATCATTTAGTTTATAAACTAAATATAACTGATAAATTATTTTTGTATTCGATATAATGTATTTATAAAAACCATGAGTCATAAAAATTTTTATGTTTCTTTTCTTCCTCTAATGAATCAATATCACAGAAAAATTTATACATTGTCCCATTTGTTAGGATTCGTCCTTTCTAAGCAAAAGACAGAAGGCTTGTTTCGCGCAATATTTATGCAAAAGCTCTCTTAGTTATGATTATATAATACAAAACTTCATCTGTTTCTTTTTCAGTTATGTTCTCCGTATTATTTTTCGGCTTCGTTATCGCTTAAGTAAGAATGATTATGGATTCAATTATAAGTTCATCGGATTTTCCTCTAATTGATGATCATGTCATATCCTGTGATTTACTTGGTGGATTCGATTTAACAATGGACAATATTCCAAATTCCAAATTAATATATTATAACGATACAATCGATTCCTCAGAACAAGAGACAGCTATTAAGATGATGGATGAGTTGAGTCCTGGTAAGATTCTAGAGGTTTTTATCATGTTATTTTTTATATATTACTTCATACATTTCGCTGTTTACTGCAAGAATAGTAGTAACTTCTATACATTTCTATTCTCTTTTCTAGAGTTCAAATCGGAGTTTGACGAACTGTTTGACAACATCGATATCGGACTGTTCGAAGACTCATCATCAACAAATGTAAACGATCTTTTTCCTGATTTTTTTTCATCATCGTCACCAATTGATTCCACTTTCCCATGTTCCCAAATAAAATGTGACGTTGGAACTGATCCAATGACACTAACTCAACAAACAGAACAGCAATTACCAGTTAGCGATATTTCTGAACCGAAACAAGTAAATACAATTACTATACCACAACTACCAACACGTACAACAAAAATTATTCATCTAAAACGAGCACTAACAAATGAAAAAGCCAATTTTGTTCATATAGAACCATCATCGAATAATACCAGTGTTCGTACTTACCCTAGTTTTATTCAAATATCCGGTTTGCCATCGTCGAAACCCACTATTCTCATCTCAGCTAAACCAGCACAAACAACACAACAAACAATTCCAGCCGGTTGTTATCAACTTCTCTTAGAGAACAACAATAAATTACAAACTGGAACAATCATTAATGAAGCAACTACAACCACCACATTAGGAGAAGAATGTAATATGGGCGAATCTGAATGTAAGCAAGAATTCATAAATGTTTAAATCTTGCAATAAATCATTTTTATTTCTTTTTAGTTTTTGATACTGACTTTCCCATGACTCCTTCCACTCACAGTGAATCAGCTGACGATCGAACAACATCTCCAGATATAACGACAAATGAATATCCTACTTATATATCTAGCACTGGCACGCGCCGTCATCAAAATGCTCTAGTCAAATTATCTTCATCCAGTAATTCATTCGTATCTTCAACCATGCTCACTGATCTTGGAGTAAGTTACTTATTTTTCTTCTTCCAAATTATAATCTTCTCTACTATTTTACTTCAGAAACTCCCATCATGTGGATCATTGCTATTAACCGATGAAGAACTAAAATTAATTAAGCAAGAAGGCTATCAAATACCGACGAAGTTACCATTAACAAAAACAGAAGAAAAAATAATGAAAAAAATCCGTCGAAAAATTAAAAATAAAATATCCGCTCAAGAAAGCCGTCGTAAAAAAAAAGAATATGTTGATACTTTAGAAAGACAAGTAGCAAAATATATGGATGAAAATGGTATTTTAAAAGATAAATTATCCAGTATAGAAAAAAATCATCGGTACAGTGAGACAATAAAAAATCAGATAGTTTTTAACTTCTTCTTGTTTAGAACACTATTACAAGAACTACAATCTCTTAGATCTATGGTGGGAAAAGGAACAACAACAACTGGTACTGTTTTGATGGTACGTATAATTAGTCGTACACCGGTTATTGTCCGTTAATCGATATCGTTTATGCCTATAATCAATCATAACATACAGATTTTGAGAATCCTTCAAAGTTTTGCGTCAGAAATGCTCTTTGACTGAGAAACTGACTCGACTATCCCAGCTTAATCGAGCCGATACATGCCAGCGTATAACCAAAGCGAAGGATGAGATTCTTTTCTAGAAAGAACGAGTTTATCTTGAAAAGTAAACATTGACTGAATGAATTTATTGTCTTACTCTTCTTTGATTTTAGGTATTAGTTTTATTTTTTGCCGTTTTGTTTGGCATTTGGTCACCCATCACAAATAAACAAGAAGATTTTATGCGTTCATCATCATCAAATAGTTTATCAAGGTCATCAAATCAAGATAGATCGAATAGCAATGGTCTTGTAACACAACCAACAGCAAAATTATTAGATCATAAAGACATTAAACAAGAACCATCACCGGCAACATTCTCACCCTATGTAGCAAATTATAAATCACGAGTTCTGTTATCCGTTTCTGATGAACAACAACAAGAACGAGACGATAACAAAAAATATGGACCATATTTACCTAATAAATATAAATATAGTTCAAATGTTAAACAACTACATGCACCAGCTCATACATATTCACATGCAATACAAAAATATATGAATAAAAAACTGAAAACAGAAAGCGTACCCAGCGATGCTGATGTTGTCATGAATCAAAGTATGCATTTCAATAACATGATTTCAGGAACATTTTGAGGGAAATACTATCTAAAATCTTATACTTTTTTTCTATATTTCTACAGCTAAGACTTTATACTTTTTTGTCGAAATAGACAATTATTCACATATTTATAATTCATTATTTTTTATTCTTTTAGCTTATTCTACAAATTATCATGAAAAATTACCGTGTCTGAAACGTCCATTATCATCAACACATGAGCCGTCAGTTATTTTAACCGATAATAAAATAAAGTTTAATACTGGTGTACGTCCAAATCATACGTCAAATTATCGTATTAATGAGAAAGTTGTTGTTATCGATTTATCTGATCAAATGGAGAGATTTATTGGTCATAATGGTACTAATCTATATGGCGATGCTAAGCCGTTAAAAATTATACGTGTTGAACGAACAACACCATCTACTATAAATGATACATTGAAAAATAATCATAGTGCGTGATGTGAAAATGTTTGATTTCATTTAGTTATTTTCATGAATACCATGTTGAAAAAAAATATTTTACTCTTATACTCATGTTTTAAGCAAAAAAAGAATGAAGACAGATGTGTTTTTCTTATGATGATTATATGTTATTATCTGTTCATAAAGCGAATAGCTTACCATTTTAATTGTCGACTTTTCTTGTTTTAGTGTTTTTCATTGTTTGTACCTGATTCTTCATACATATGTTTATAAATCTCTTTTTGTTTATTGTTATGTATTTATTGTTTTATCTATTTAACAGTTTGTTTATTGTTTATTTTAAACATATTGTTGTTTTTGTTTTTATTTTAGAAACTATACATATTTATGTATGATGTTTTTTATTATACAACAACTAAAAACAAAAGATATCTTTTGTGGTCTTTTCTTACAGTTGATTATTCGAAAATATCCATAGTGATTTTTACCGTTGCCGCTATTTTCCTAAAGATTCTGTTATAAGCTGTTAAGCATACATAGAGTAGTTATAAAACATGAATAGTTCAAGAGAAATTGTGTGGTGTAGGTGTTTTAACTCGGTGAATTCTTCTACATGCCTAAAAGCTTGGATAGACTAAAATTCTTGGGATCAATCGAGAAAAACTCATTTTTAGAGAAAATAGAAAGTCAAGTTTTTTAGCGCATGTATTTTTGTTTTGTTTTCAATTTGTTCTTTATATCCAATAAAGAAAAAAAATCTAACCGCATACACGCACTGATACAACAAAAGAAGTAATTGATTAAAATATCGAATAAAGTTTCGTTTCTTCTTCATAAATGTGAATAGCAAACATCAAAATCAAACATATACTTAAGGAACCGATATTTAAGCTCGCTCTCCACGAATTCTTCTTGCCAATTGAATATCTTTTGGCATAATTGTGACACGTTTAGCATGTATAGCACATAAATTCGTATCCTCGAATAATGAAACCAAATAGGCTTCTGATGCTTCCTACAAATGAGAGAAAAAAAGAAATAATAATAACGAGAAAGATGGGAAATTTTTATTTCTTACGTACTTGTAGTGCACCAATTGCTGCTGATTGAAAACGTAAATCCGTTTTAAAATCTTGTGCTATTTCACGAACTAAACGTTGAAATGGTAATTTTCTTATTAATAATTCTGTTGATTTTTGATAACGACGTATTTCACGTAAAGCGACTGTACCAGGACGAAAACGATGTGGTTTTTTAATACCACCAGTCTACAAGGAAAAATGCACAGTAATTTACAATTATTAGAAGAAAAGAAATGATTGATAAGTGGTGCATACAGATGGAGCTGATTTTCGAGCAGCTTTTGTTGCAAGTTGTTTTCGTGGAGCTTTTCCTCCAGTTGATTTACGAGCAGTTTGTTTTGTACGTGCCATCTCTGTCGGTTTGACTTTTGATTAAGGTTGTACGGACTAAATAAAAACAAGAAAATCTAGTTAACTTAATTTACTGGGATTGGAAAAGAGAAGAGACAATTTTCATATCTGGTACACGATCTTAGTTAGAATTTTTAAATGGGCACGCTAAGATAGCCGTATCCGTAAAATATACTATAAAGATCGCTTTACCACGAAAAAAATCTTGTCTTAGGATGTGATATGAAAAATTAGTCTCTTCAAAGTAATAGTGTTTTGTACACGTTACTTGGAAAATACAAATCGTCACAATCGTTTATATATATATGCAAGTAGCTCGTGATTTATATATCAGTCGATGTGTAATCAAAGTTTCAGGACTCTCTGACCACGAAATAAGCTAGCGTCCACAAACATATTTGGAACTGTACGAATCATATTTTGTGAAAAATTTCTGAAAGTAAAATTTTCGTTCTTCTTATCATCACTAAGTACCTACAAGTGTAGGCGAAGATTTTTTTGTCACTTATTGCGACGGTTTTCAAAGACCAACATTGTAGTAGTCTCTAGTGAAGATGTTTCCTGAAAATCTAAATTCTTTTTAGATATAATTTGTAGAAACTGCTTAACTGATAACAAATCTACAGAAGACTTATTGATCAAACGAGCTTGTCTTCGTTTATTGTTTATATAAATGTAGGAGAAAGTGAGAGGATCAATATCATACGTAAGTTTTTTTTATTATAAATATGAGCAAAGAAATAATGATTGTGTCTTGCGTAACTTATTGTTGATCGAAGTATTCATTAAAATCACTCTCAATATTAAATTTCTTTTTATTGTAAAAGAATTTGAACAAACAAATTAAGGCAAATTAAACTACTACGTCCTTCTGTTTCTAATGTTAATTTCTTTTTGAATTTTTTAAAGAATGTTTTTAAAATGGATTGCGGAAAGCGCACTTTCTATAAACTCAAGTTAGAAATTCTTTTTAAAGCACCTGTTTTAATCCTACAAAACTCTAAATGTGAATTGGTGTGATGCAAAGATCGTTCTATAAATTTTCTTTTTTTAAAATCTATAGGCTTGTTGACCCAACGTTCTACATAGTTCTACCGCGTTTGAATAATCTCAATAAACGTGATACAGAATGGAATCTCAGAGACATGTCAGTTTTGTTCGTCGCTTCCTTTGGTCTGTCACGTCTAAGAGGTTAGCAAAAAGCTAGCATTATATTGTAATCGTTGAACATCATTTAGAACTGACAGTCAATTAACTTAAATTTTTTTTTTTTAATATTTCATTTTTCTTAAACAGTATAGCATGATAAATACTGTGTGTTGAATAATTATCTCATAATGTAAAGGCAGTCTAAGATTTATTGCATGTTGTTCATGTAAATCTTTCTCTTGTTATTTGTATTATATTTAAATCTAGCTAAAAAATAATTACTGCTTTTTTTATATTTGTTTTATTTTGAACAATATTAGCTGAAGTAAACTGAAAGTGAACACTTATAAGAGAGGTTCTATCCTTGTTGTATTCGCTGACATCTATCTCTAACTTTCTGTTCTAATTTCTTTGATATGACCGGTCGCCAACGATTCTCTTTTTTTTGTCTCGTTTACTCGTCATTCTATCTCATGAGAAAAAATTAAGCTTTTCTTTTTATTTCTTTGGACGACTTTATTTTCTTCCAAGTTTGAAGCTTAGAAGAATAACATTGTAGACCCATAAGGTGTTCTTTTCTTTCTTTCTAAGATATTTTTTTTCTTTTTTTTCTTCTTTACTTCATATATAGTAGTGCGCTGGAAAGAAAAATTCCTTTTTTCCTTATTGTTTAGCGTTAAAGAGTAATAAGCTTGTGTGTAACTCGCGCGTACAAGCTACTTTAAGTAGTTTCTGGCTGGAGAAATCGAATTCTAGAAGATTTAAAGAGTCTTTGATATTGATTCGACTAATACGCTCTCGCGTAAGAAACTCTTAAAAATGTATAAAATATCGTATAATAAAACAGTTTTATTGTGTTAAAGCTTAAGTGTTCTCCATACTGAGGTTCCTAGAACTTGTTTAGAAGTCTGTTCCAATCATAACTTACAGTAGTCGGTTACTGACTTATAGAAAATCTTATTTCAATATCAGTATGTATAATGACCACTACTGAATAGAAGTACAAAACCAACTATGAACAAGAACGAATGTTTGCGTGGTAAAGTAAATGAGAACAGAGAGACCAGTTTTAAGCTCCTTCTTTGCTTCGGTAGATCTTGGTTTTAAAGTGGTATTAGAGAATCTGATCCTTTACGTCTTATACCTTTTGGGTTTCTTTATAATTTTTCTGCTCGAATAAAAGGTTCAATTAAAAAACTCTAGAAACTAAAAAATAGTTTACTTACATTATACAGTGAATATGTCTATTGCAATATGGAGTTGCTTTCTGTTCTTTTTTCTAAGTAAAGACTGTAGAGCACGTCTGTTCGACAACGGATAATGTGAGAGAATGAGCGTTTTTGGTCGCGAATAGTGTATATATAGATTCTCTAACTTCTATTTATACCCCTCCTATAGTCGACAACGTGAGTGTAACTGTGTAGTAGACAAAACACCAATAAACACTTTGAAGTTGAATCCCTGTTCATTTCATTGGTTACGATGTTTTCATTGAGTCCAATAAAAGATGGATACCAATGTCGGATTTAGGAAGGCGGTGTGGAGGTCAAACATATGCTGGCACATGGAATTTTACAGGAGACTGTTGGACCTCGCCATTACTCACGCGCCAATGTATCCATTGGAAGATATTAGAAGAGCGAATTGAAGAAAAAACAATATACATGACGAATACAATGTATATAATTAGTTATAAATACTCATTAGAGAACTCTCTAACCGCTACTGGCATCTGCTCTTGCATCCAAATATGGGACGTGGACAGGTAAACGAAAGGAAAGAAAAGAAAAAAGCCGAAAATAAAGGGAAATACGGAGAAAAACGGGATAGTGAAAATGGAGAAAGATAGACAGCCAGAAAAACTATTTACAGGATCGAAAGAAGGATTGTGTCAACTATAATTTTGGAATAAATATATCTGACTGGGAATAATAAAAATACTGATAATAATAGAATATATAATCGCACATGATGCAAAGGTTGTTACACACACGTAGAACATCAAATCATACACAGTCGAAGGAGAAGAAAAAGTTAAAATTGCTCAGACAGAACGAAGAAAAAGAGTGAACAAAAAATATATGTTATTTATATATATAAGGAACAAATAAAAGAATGAAAAAATTTGAGTAGCGATAATTTATATTTTAATTATTTCTTTGTTCTTGACTAAATAATAACAATTAGAAAAAGTATAATGAACAAATGTTATCAGTATAACGAGATAGAAAGAGAACGAACCGCATACGTACGCCATCTATTTAGATTGAATATACATAGTGTTCGAAAACGACACCTACGTAACAAAGAGAGTCACTAGTAAATAGAAACATGTGACATCACAGTCATCTGCTCAGGATCGATTTTACATGTATACTGAGTGAAAGATTACGTATTTAGTTTTTATCGAATTTGTCTCAACTAGTAGATCGAAAAAACAGATTCAATGAAAAGAATTTTTTTCATTTATGTTGTAGCACACTTCATCTAGATCACTGTTTCTTCTGAATGATAAAGTTTTAACAATTAATTTGCTAACATGTCTTACGTATGAATTATTGTCCATATACAATATCTTCGCTTGCTAAAAAAGACTGAGTCAACTAGGAAAAAAGGTTTCCACTAAATAATCAAAGATGTTTATAAACCCATCATTCTTTCCCAGCAACTTATTTTAGGAAGTCTCTCACTCATTGATTTGCTATGCTAATAAAACAAGTCCTTTTATTTATCAGTTTAATCTTTCGAAGATGTTATAATTTTTATGTAGTTTCCTTCGTACTTTCGTACACAAAAAAGTTTAAAATCAGCCGATATTGGTTACTGACATGAATAATATCATGAATAACATACAAGATTAGCCGTTAAATGACGAAACTCTCAAATATTTGCAACATTAGAAACTTACATTACAGTTTGGTCATGTACTTCTAATCAACACTGACTAACTGATCATTGAATAAGAATGCTCTATTTGAAAATATACATCGTAAAATTTGTTTTAAATTTCAGATTTTCACCAAAAAAATATACAATGAAAAGTATTATGGGAAATCAGATAGCAAGGAGGGTGATGGATGAAGTAAATGATCTGAAGAAAAAAAATAAAACACCAAAAGAGTCGACAATGGCCATATCCTCCGCTCCGACTTACGGTGGTAATCAGAGTCCAGCTTACTACCATCAACCACCCTCTTATCAACAACAACCAGATTCTTATTCACATACGGGAAGATCAACAGCTGGTTATAGTCAAAATCCCACTTATCCAACCCTCAGACAACCGTTAGAAGAGCGAGAAAAGCAGGTAATGTTTCAAAGAAATTTAAAACATTACCTAAAGAAATTATTCTACTAAAGATTTGTCAACAACACCCGTGGAGTACAAGATTATTCTAACGGTTAGAGTTGTTACATTCTTTCCTTGACGTAGTTTTAAGGAGAAGGAGTAAGGGTAATTTGTAAACATTTTAGTTATTTAATCGAATGTTCATCCTCTTTGATCATCCTCCATTAGTCTTTCTCTATTTATTTTGTATTTTTGATAATAAGATGCAGTAGAATGAACTAGTAGATCACATTCACATGTGATCACATTTTTAAGTAGATCACATTTAGCTTTTTTTAAATTTAACAAAAACATGTTTGCTATAAAAGGTTTGATTATAAGAGAAGTAGGAAAAATTGTTATTGATGAACTTCGTGATTATCGTGAAAAACGTCGAGAACAACAACAATTTGTTGTTAGTGTTAATCAACGATCAAAGGGAAAAACTAACGATTCGATTAGAACTTCTTCTATACCAGCGACGTCTTCTGTCGAAATTACTAATAACAAGGTGATAAATCAATAGCATTATGATCGTTTTTAATTGCTATTTTATTTTTTTTCTCAGACTTTTTTGGGCAAAATAGAATCTTCGATTTCGAATGTTGCTGGTGCAATTGTTGGTCAAGATACAGCTGTTTTGGCATCCAACAAATTGAATAGTTTAGTAACAAAAGGAAAAAGCGCACGAGTAAGAAAATATCATCTAAGATTTAGCTAAACATCTAGAACTTTTTGCATTCTATTCTAGGAGTTAATCAAAGCCGGAGCTGTTATTCAATTAATGTCAAAGAATTCTGGACAACTATTGCAATTAGTTACATCTGCAAATGGTCTAACTTTCGACGGTTGCCATCCAAGTGGATCGAACGCATTTAATAGTAAAATTTATTTCATATAACCTTGCCACTTTAAAGAGAGTTTTTTTTGTAATGTTTCAGCTTATTTTACTGTCGAAGAAAGTGACAAAGGACGATTTCGATTTCATAATAATTTAAATTATCTTGCATTTCGTCATAATCAAGCGTGTATTATCAATCTCGTAAGACAAAACTGTACCTAAAGGTAAAGTGGAAACTTTTTTATGTTTTTTGTTTTTGTATAGCCACCTGGAACACGTAATAATACCGAGGTTGATTTTCGTATTCATGATATCATTGGTAGTAGCGATCTGGTTGCGTTAGAATCGTGTTCATGTAAAAATTACTTCATTAGTATTGCTGGTGATGGACATCTGAAAACAAAGAACATGAAGGACAAAAATATTGATGCTCAATTTCTCATTATACCAGTGGTAAATGAATAATCGTATATCAAAAAATGATTTCTATGTTTTATGTCTTTTTTAGACGAATAATATTCCGTCTTCTTATCCACCAATGTCTCAGCCATCTTATAATTCTTACCAAAATCCACAATCTAATCCTTATCAAAATCCACAGTCTAATCCTTATCAAAATCCACAGTCTAATCCCTATCAACAAATACCACCAAATCCATATTATGACTCTTATCAGCAACCTCCACCACCACTTTATGGCTCACCATACGGAACTTCTTCGCCATATAATAATAACTATCCGCCTCCTCCACCAGCACAAACTTCATCCATATATCCACAATTTCAATGAAAACTAGTTAGTTTTTAACCGTTATATTTTTTTTAAACAAGAATATAACTTTGTTTTACACTTTTGGATATTTATTTCTGCATGGTTTGCATCAACAAAATTTATCTACTGTACATGTCCAATACATTTTTTTCTTGTACAAGTTTTTTCGAAAGAATGATATTATATATATATATATATATGAAGAAGCTAAAAATCTTTCTGATACGTATGAAAGAGCAAAGCAAACGTATTTGGCTATTAGAGAAATAAATTTTTACACATATTTATTTTGATGACTTGTGGTTTATTTCGTTTTTGTGCATAAGCCAGCCACCTAAATTTTATTTTTTTTCCGTTGTTTGTCACTATGCCTCCATTTGAATGGGAATCCAAATGAATGGAAGTTTTAAAGGTAAACTAAGTGGCTTTCACCCTTCGAAAGATGTAGTGCGTTGATGCTTAATATTTGAAAGGCGGCGATGCAGCACTATCTGATCCATTGATTAATCGTATTTTTAATACGAAAGGATCAAAAGATTTTTATTAGACAAAGATCGGTTTCTGTTATTCTAACAACACGATACCTCATAAAAAGTAATCAACAACTGAAAAACTTAACAGAAACTTTTTTTTATTTTGCTCTAACGATTTCGGCTCTAATACGAGCTTTTTCAGTACTATTAAAACTGAAATATAACAGAATTTCACATCTGTTTAACGTTACAAGACTACTAACAAAATATTAGATCGATATCTCAATATCTTTACTTTCAATTCATAATCAAGGTATCTTTTATCCTTGATTACTTGATTTTACTTATTTATTTACCGATTAAGATTAATTTGTTTGATTAGTGTAAACCGTTGAAGTATTTTCTATTGCTTTTGTTTATGACATTTTATTTTTTGATTACTTTGAGTCAAGATGATATGAGAAGTTTTAATTTCGACGAGTAATGAAATACGACTATAACATTCAGCTCAGAAACTCTTTCTGTGCAGAAGCTAAAAGTCCGTTTTTCCATAGAATCGAAACAATATATATTCCTTTTCTAGTTAAAAATACACTTTATTCGCGTTACGTTTTCCAATTTTTGATTATTTCGGGAAATATCTCGTCTTTAGAATAACCAGTAAGTAAACCGTGACTCATAAAAGCCTTTTATTTACTGCCTTATCAGAAAATTTGTATAGTTGACCTGCGGATTATGGCACTTTCGTCATTATGACGAACGCACTTGGTCATACGTGACGAAAGTTCCTTGAGTGGAGGTACTCCCTGGGAACTGTCGTCACCGAAGTGTGAATTTTCGCCACACACCAAAAATTTCGTTGCATGAGGCGAATTTTCGTCACAGTAGTGGTGAACTTTGGTCACATTTAAAGAACGTTAAATGCATTCTTCCTTAGCAAGTGGTTACAGAGTAAGTTCATAACTTTTGAACAATAAATCTTTCTTCACTGTAAGTTACAATTTATGTAGAAGCGAATTTTCGTCACAGCAACAAAAAAGCACTCCGAACGCGTATATATACGCCACTATTTACTCTGTCAGTACTTCCTAAGGAAGTACTGCAGTGTAGTAAATACAAAGTGTAGCTCTTACTGAGGGAGTGCTCCTGATCACATAATAATCTCACAGCACTTGATTCTATAACGGTATTTACGTGTGATGAGAGTTAAGCAGGAACCGTTAAAGACAAGGGTATTTTCGTCACACCCGACGAAACTGTCGTCACACCCGACGAAACTGTCGTCACGCCCGACGAAACTGTCGTCACACCCGACGAAACTGTCGTCATCAAAGTGTGAATTTTCGTCACAGCCACAAAAAGCACTCCGAAATTCACAGGAACTTATGCCACTGTGCTGTTTTCTGAAAAACGCATTTACGCCACATGTGACGAAAGTACACCCTCCTATGACGAAAGTGCCTTTTATCGACCTGCCACTATGTTATTACACAACGTTATGTAATTCATTTTTACATTAAGTACAAGTTCTTTGATTTTGGTTATACTAAATAACGCTATAGTGTAATAACATCGAAGTCAAGTACTTCGAGTAACATCGAACGACATTGAGTAACATCGAACGACATTTCATCGAAAGATTTTTCATCGCACGGACTTTTCATCGCAATATATTTTCCAGGTGTCTATAATTTTTTCTTTTCAAATTTGTACAAAAGTTGTGAAGAAAAATAAGAAGTGGGACATAATTGAAACAGTTAACATAATAATTTTCAGATGATACTAGTAGCTACAATTGTCTATAATTTTATATTATGAGCTAGATTTTCTAGTTGATCCATAATATTTGAATGAGGATTATTTATTAAATGAAGTAATCGTTTTGTATGATCCAAATACTTTTTTTCTGCTTCAGGAGCATCACCCGCATCTAATCTTCGATGAAAAGTTCATGCGATGAGAAGTCCGTGCGATGAAAAATCTTTCGACGAAATGTCGTCGATGAAATGTCGTTCGATGAAAATACGTTCGATGATTTGTCGTTACCTCACTTTATGCAAATAAATATGAGAAGTGAGTGAGTACAATCTCACACTAGATCGCCTATAAACAGAATAGTAAAATAAATTGCGATTATTATTAATTATTTATTCATACTTGTTTTTAAGCGTTGAGCGAATATATATGTATGCGTATATGCGTATTTTAGGGAAAATAGCAGAAAAGTATCAACATCATCTATTTAGATTAAATATGGCAACGAGTAATTTTGAAAATGAACTAATTGAACGTGTTCTGTCTAAAGCTGACAAATCAGAAACATACACATATTTTTGGAAAACTGAATCACCGTTTAGTAATTTTCATCCATGCACTGTTAGTGTAGATAATCTGAAATTTAGTTGTACTGAACAGTATATGATGTATAATAAAGCTAGTGAGTAGATAATCTGATGTTATCAATCTTTTTTTTTTACAATTTTTCATTTATTCTTTCAAGTTTTGTTCGATGATAAAATAATTGCCGCTGAAATCATAAACGCTCATTCACCACGAGCTATGAAAGCTCTCGGTCGCAAAGTAAGCAATTTTAATCCTGATATATGGTTAGAGAATCGATCAAAAATTGTTTCAAATGGAAATTATTTAAAAGTAAGTAATCGATTCCATATGGTATTAAGTGTATTTATAAGATAATATTTTTCTCCACTTGTTAGTTTACGCAAAATGAACATTTGAAGAAAGCTTTATTAGAACAACATGGTAAAATATTGGTAGAAGCTAGTCCGAATGATCAAATTTGGGGGATCGGGATGGACCAATCGAATCCTCGTGTTGCAAATCGGTCAGAATGGAAGGGTTTAAACTTATTAGGATTCATACTGACAGATATTTGTAATAAAATCTACGAAGAACAAAAGCAGTCTTAAATGTATAATTCACTTTGTTTTCTTTTTGCAGTATTTTTTATTGATAAATTAAAAAACTGGAAGTTCATCGCTTTGGTTTTTCTTTGACGGAATAAGACTACCCATGTACTAAAAATAGCATAGAAATCGGCAATTAATCGTGAAAAATCATACGATTAATAGGCGTGTTTCATGAGAAAGTTGGTATAGTCTATCCTGAGATTAGCTGAATAGATCAAGTTGTTATTTGGTTCCTAGCGGTTTCTTGACACGCTCTTTCTTTTTGTCTCTAGAAAGTTCTCTCCAAAAGCCTTGGAAGTATGGTTTCTGGAAAACCGTGGTTTTTCATCTATAGGTGTCGGAAAAAATGAGTTTTGTAAAGTATT